TCAACTCTCGGGGAGGTTTCATTAACCCTGAGCTAGTCGGGACCTCGGGCTTTTCCAAGCGCGGCTCTCCCAAGGCGGAGGGAAGAGCCGGCGTTTCCAGGAGAGGAGCTGGGGGGCTCCGCCGGCTTCACCCCGAGCCGGGCGGGCACGGCCCCGCGGATCCCCCGGCCCGGGGGCAGGTCGGCAGCGTGCAAGGCTGGGATGGGGCAAAAGAAGGGCTAGTGATGTGTGTATATACACATATATATGTATATATGTATATATCTAGAACGGGCAGCCAGAGACAGAAAATGACAGCTCTCCCCGCAGCCTGGCTTGGCATCCCCAGGCTGTGCATCAGGGCGGTTTGCCTCTTACTACGTGGTTAAAAGATGTTTTTTTTAACGGGTCCTTTTGAAGGCATCGCTCCCGGGAGCGAAGCACGGCCCCGGGGAGATGGGACTGGGTGCCCCCCGAAGGAGCGGCGCCCGGAGCGGAGGGTTTGGCTGCGGAGCCGGGAGTTTGGCATCGGTCCCTTTCCACCCCACCTGCAGCTCCGCTGCCTTCCCCGGGCCAGGGAGGATGCGCCGGGAGAGCGAGGAGGCGTTTGCTCATTTACTACCCACGGAGGCATTTGTTTTTCATTTTGCAAACGCTTCCCTTTAAGTAATTGTTCCCGTTAAGAGCGTATACCTTTCACTGGGCTGCGCCGCGCTATAAATAATCTCGATGAAGATGCAAGGATATGACTTTCACAAGATTGGACAATTGATTAAATCTGTGACCTGCAATTGCGGATAATCTTGGAAGGCTATTTAAACAGATGAAGGCCTAAATTGTCTTGCTTGTATCTGAATTAATTTCTCATTCATCATCATTATGGAGTGATTGGTTCTATTCAGGCTTTGCAGCCTGCTGGAACGAAACTGGATTTAAATGAGACTGTAACACGATTTAAATGCTCCCCAGCTTTAACGAGGCCAATCGAGCAGCTGCAATAAATACAAATATTTTTCTAAACAGCCTTGTTTTAAATAATTACTTAATACTTTCATGTGATGTTCTTAAGTGGCAATTTCTGAAGTCCCAGGCACTTCTTTGCAGAGAGGGCAGTAGGGAAAATCACTTCGTGTGTTTGCTTTGAGTGTATATGTGCATGCAATACACCGACGGTGATTCTTTAAAATGGGGTTTGTAAATATTAGTGTAAACCTGCGCTAGGTTCTTGATCTTGGGTGCACTCGGTTTAACTATTAAAAAAAAAACCAACAACAAAACAAAAACAAAACAAGCAAACGGTGAATTGGAGGCCAGAGGTTGTGATTTATTTGTTTTCTTGTTTGAAGATCCTGAACTGGTTATCTCTTCCTCTCTCTATTTAAAAAAAAAAAAAAAAAAAAAAAAAATAAAGAAAAAAAAAAAAAAACCTCCCAACAAAGCATCAAAGGTCAACACAAGGTCAAAGGGGAGCGCTCAAGCTTCAGAGAAAACTGCATGTGAAATCAAATCAAAGTCCTATTATCACACAAGGTAAAAAAAAAAAAAAAAAAAAAAAAAAAAAAAAAATTGAGAGAGAAGAAAAAGAACCTTCCAAAGACAGGGACCAATTCGAGGGGGATCTACCCTAATCGGCACTAACCACACACACACTCACACCCCTGGTACCAGCTCCCCCCGGTCAGCCCATCCGCGGGTGCGGAGCGGGGACCCTCCATCCTTACAAAAGGAGCAGCGAGAAGATTTGGAGGGAGCAGGCAACAAAAAAGGGGTTCCGGGGTGAAAGATGCAGCAAAAGGACGCGGAGCTGATTTCCCCCCGCCTTGACACCCACCCAGGAACCTGATGCGCCTAAATGAAGCCATTTGTGTTAATGATATTTCAGCTCATCCTGACGTTGGCTTTACCCCTGGGTGACACTATTGTAAGCGGCAGGACAGCGGGCCTTGGGGTGACATATGGTGGGGGGTGTTTTCAAGGGCTAAACTCAGTAGTAAAATAAAGTAGCCAGGCGAGCAGGAGAATAATAGAAAACAAAAGGTTCCTTCAGATATACAAGCCAAATTCTAAAGGAGCCGCATGCCTTTCGGCAGGTGACGGCAAACGACCTAACAACCGAGCAGAAAATGTGAAATATGGAGAGCCTATTTTCTAATGATTTGGGCGCTGGAGTAAAGAATAGTGCTGCGAAAGCAGATCCGATCCAGTTTAATCATACAACCTTAATAAAAACATATAGCCTGGGACGCCAAAGTAAGCGGCGTTGTCGGTGCTATCTCACTTAATGGTACAGGAGGTGACACATAAAACACAACAAAGATGGGCTGAGAAGAGCCGAAAAGGGCTGAGTGATTTGATAGTAACGGAGCAATTTAATGCGCGAGTTACAGCACTGCTCCCCGGGATCGTTTAGGCTTAACCCGTTCTCTAGAGCTCATCTTCTTCCTCTTCTGGTCCTTTTTTTTATTAGTAGTATTATTATTCAGTTGTTTAAAATGAGCATTATCCCAAACATATGCAGTGCAATCAGCTCGGTCACACTTACAAGAACACGCTTTAATAAGGCAATCAATCAAACCCTAACAAGGCGGAGAAGGCCTTTTGGAGTTGAATTTGGCTGGCTGGGGAGAGGAGCCGATGCGGCACAACCCCGAAGACACCCCCTCGCCCGCTTGGGACACGGGTGGGGAGCGCCCACCGCCCAATCCCGGGGGACAATTCCCCACGGAGCCCCGGCCCGGGCCTCCCCCTAATTCCTGGAAGGGTCCCATCCCCGGCCGGGGGGAGGCAAGGGAAACCTGCCTTCCTGGTGGCAGCGGCTCGGGGACAGAGCAGAGCCCGCTGCCGCCTGGGTGTCCTGCCTCTGCCCCCCACGCCTGCCCGGAGCCGGCGCCACGCGTGGGGACTCGGGTACCCCCACCGGCGGCGAATGCGTTAACGGCACCGTCCCCACGCAGCAAAAGGAAAATTTCATTATGAAGTAATGAGTAATTCCTCCCAGTGAGATGTATTGTTATATCTTCCACTTCAATTTAGGAGCACAGCGGCTCAATTACCTAGAAAATACAGTCAATTAAAGGCTGCTGATTGGACACGAGGACGGATCATCGATCTTGTACTTTCCAATATCGCTCCAGACACCTCATTTTCCCTCCCCTATTAACTGAAAATACTCTTGGCATTACTGCGACCTGCAGCCTATTTACCTGTCGCAGGCAATCTCTGCCCTGTGACCGAGCCAGGGAGAAATTCACAGCCACCCTGCGCCGCAGCAGCCCCCAAGAAGGGGCGGTTGGGGGG